GTACTAATTAAAATGGATGAGATATCCGTAAATATTCGTAAATATCCGCAAATATCTATTTATTTTCCGGATATCCGTTTTTCCGGATATCCGTATTTTTTCGAAGCAAAGCAAATACCAAAATTAGATATCCGTAACATTCGAAGCAAATCACAAATACCTTAAAAAAACCCGGATATCCGATCCGTGCCCACCCCTACACGTTGTAACGTACATAACAATTTGAAAAAAAAAAATGATTCAGTTCAGGACGGCATGACCTTGGAATGTACCAACAATATATTTACTTTTTTGTTTCAGATGGATTCTTGGTGATTAAAATGTCTGATAAATCTAGAAAAATTAATTAATATTAGCTGATACAGTACTGATGAGCTAACACAAGCACTTGTCGCAAAATTATTGAATTAAACCTAAATAGAGTTTTTCTCGTTTTTTTTTCATTTCATATCTTAAATCACTATCTCTCTCTCTCTCTCGGAAAGATGTTTAATAACTGGCACGTAGATGTGGGTCACAGTGTGTGTGAGACTGGTACATACTATGTTTTAGAAGTTATCTCAATCAACTTCTAACTGGTAACGAAGTTGTGTATCCACAATGAATGTGAAAGTGTAAGATAGTACTCGAATGATTTTGTGGATGTTTAAAAGATATAGATAATGGAGGGTTGTGTTCTTAATTATTATCATGGGTCACAATAGATTCATAATTAAATTAAAAATACATGATTAGTTTTAGTTCGTACATACCAACAAAGTTTGATGAAAAGACAATGAACAAAACAATATATATAAAAAAAAAGATCCATTCCAAAAAATTCACAAGTGATTTATCTCTTATAATTTGCTTCACAAACCTTAGTTATACTACTATTATTAATTCATGTATGGATTTCATAATTCTTATATATGTACTCGATGAAAAACCCTAAAAGACTCAGAAGAGATCTTTCACACTGAATCAATTCTTCCAAAGTCATTCACATTGTAAAACCCATTCGAGAAAAAACCAGAAAAACCTGCCGACATATGAGGCAAAAACATCTCTTCACCATTCAACGGCTCATAGTACTCACCCACCCGATCATCGAACGGCTCCTGCTCAAACACACGTGGCGCAAGATTCTCCTCCGGCGGCGGCGGAGAAGGGCTGAGGTCGGAGACGCTGGAGGAGGAGAACACTGGCTCCGGTTGCTCGACGGCGTCTTGGCCAGTGAGCTCTTGTACGAGCTCCCTAAACTTTGAAGCACATGTTTTGACTTTCATGGGGTTTGATATGTAACGAACTTTGATGGCTTTGTTGGTTGAAGACATCTTCTTCTTTTGCTTTGATGGTTTTCTCGAAACCGGATATGGTTTTTCTTGGTCTAAGCTTGCGAGAAAGGTTGATGAATCCATGTTGTGTTTCTGGTTATGAGTTTGTGTCTTTATTTTTGGACAAAACAGATGAGTTTGTGTGTTTTTGTTTATTTATCCTTTTAGTTCATCTCTAGCTTCGTATATATAATAAACATTTTATATTTTCGTTTTTTTAATTTTATTTTTTGCTTTTTGGAAGGAGGGAGGAAATTAATAGGAAGGAGAAATGAAGCAAAAGAGGTTGCGAAGGAAAAAGAAGTAAGTGACGGCGCGTGTATCAAACGCGGCTTCAGATAGGTGGAGCGCTTGAAAAAATCAAGAATTTGGATAGTTAACATTATATCCCACGCGCATAAACAGTCGCGTGGCGTGGGAAAGAGAAGAAAGAACGTTGAGTGGTGATCAAGGCGAGGAAGAGGCGGCTACATCGTTGGAGCTATCGTTGAAGGTCCTCCACGTGAATACCGCTTTCACGTTAAAATATGACGTCTTTTATGACATCACCGTATATCATTCAAGATGACGTCACGCGACCGATCATTATTATAGTTGGAAATTTTTGATACTCCTCTCAGTCCACATCCGTGATTCGAGAAAGTTTTTTTTGGACAGGTTCGTTTGCTCTTCATTTGTCAAATCAAATTCGAGAAGAGGAACCGGGCTTCGTAGTCTGGTGGTAAAGGAACCTCGGCTGAGGTGCCCGCCATCCGACTTCGAAACCCGGCCACCACATAATTTACCTGCGGAGTTGGTGTGGCGCTCCAGACCACTTAGCGTAACCAGGGGCCCTTAAGTGGACGCTTAAAAATCCTGTCATGGCATGGGTTTAGGCCCGGTGGGCTAGTCGATCACGCTTAGTGGTCGGATACTGGGTTATCAAAAAAAAAAAAAAAAAATTCGAGAAGAGGAGACACCATTATTTTGTACCAAAACAATTTAAATTTTCACACAGGAGTAGTAAATAAATATCGTGGTACTATTATATTTAAAAATTTTCTAATAGGTGGTTGTTTGATTCATATTGCATTGATTGCTTAACTAAAATACCCTTGACCATCGATTCTACATTTGAACAGGTTATTTTTTGTACTTGAAAACAATTATTGTTTTTAAATGTTCTAGTTTTAAAGTTATGTCCTCTCAACTGTATATAATAAAAGCGTTTTAAGCAGGGAGTTCAATGCAAATGATGCAGTGAAAGATTTGTAAACAAGTGTGATATTTTGAAGTTTGAACCATGAAATACATGTGTGCTTAAATTAATCAAATAACACTTCAGACTATTTATATCGTTTTTAGTGTTGAATCACACGTGAAATCACATTTCACTTTAGTTACGAACTTGTCACGGTCAATTTTTTTTTGCAAATAAATTATCTACCATATGTATTCGCCCTAAACTATGAGTTGTATATTTTTTTAATACAAGTGTTACTTTGTTACATTTTCAAATTTTATATAATGTTTTCAAAGATTTCTTTACAAATGGCTAGCTTATAATGAACGTATGTTTGTGTTTCTTGTGTACAAATATTTATAAAAATTACTAAACATCTAAAGTGCACATAGAAACAAAAGTTGTTTTTCATGATTCAAGATATCTTAATTCTATAGGAGAATCCAAGCTAATTTTTAAAGAAAGTGCACCCCACGATTAAACCTTTTCTGGATATACAAATGATCCTAAGTAATGACTAATATCCGTGTGAGTGTATAAGAACAATGTTTCGTTACTAAATGAGATGGATGTATTTTTGCTAAAATAGATTCTTAATAGTTTAAAGTTTTCAATTAACAACATATAGTAAAAGGCTAAAAGCAACAGTCGACCCATAATTATGAAATGTACATTAATGCAAAAAAAAACGAGAATATTAATTATGGTACAAATTGAGAGAAGAAGAAGAGGTGAGGGGTCCAGGTGGGCAAGTGGGAGAAAGCAAGTAGCAGCAGTGTGGTCTCACTATCAATCTGTCCTAATTAAAAAACAAAATCTTTAATTAGCGTGGGGTCCTTGATCTCCATACATGAGTGATTATTAATCTTTAATTAACGTATAAATTACGGTGGAAATCTGTATGATAAGAGAAAACAAATCGATTAAGTATTCAAAAGTCAATATACATGACTCATGAACAAGAAAAGTTATCAAAAGCTTACTTATTAGTCGGCTTCGAGAGGATATGAAGCATCTTTTAAAGATCTTCAAAAGAAGTCAAGTCACGTGTACATAGACCCCTCTCAGTTCTTTTTTTTTTGCCATCTAGAATTTCATTAAAGGGTCAAGTCCAAGGATAAAACCATAGTTTAAAATAACAACAAATTAAAAGGCCCAAACAAATGGCCAACTTAAACAAGAACTAACTGGGTCTAGAAGCCCAAAACCCGAAACCCTAACGGACGCACGCGCACAACCTGCCAAGAGCGGCGCTGCCGGAATCTCCCCACCGAGATACAACTCGATACTTTCATCATCGCCGGGAACCATCCATCAGAGAGCATCATCGACAACCTCGAGATCTCATCCGAAACCCAGCCGGCAGAACCACCAAACCATCACACAAACACCACACCGATCTATGAGATCACTAGAGGAATTAAACGCACTCAATCAATCCTTCATCTCCGACAAACTAAGCGGTAACAGATGATAGATCGAGAGGCAGAGTACCAAAAGAAGCACAAACTCATAGATCTAGAAAAACTGGAACAAACCGACGGAAAAAAAAACCGACGAAAGCAATATAGAAGAAACTACTGCATCCCGGGAAACAGAGCCGACGACAGCGGTGCTGTAGGAGCCACCGCCTCCCGGAGACTTAAGCTGGCGAAGACGGTGCTTAGAGAGCCACCTCCTCCCAGAACCAAAACCGACTACGGCGAAACTGAAGGAGCTTCCACCTCGCGGAGACAAGGACCGGCGGCGGCAGAACTGACCAAGCCTCCACCTCCCGGAAAGACCTAACAAGACGATCTACTTCACCACACCATAACCTCTACACGTCCGCGTCTTCCCTCCAAAACATAGCCATCGCGATTGGAGGCTAGCCAGAGCACGAACAAGGCGGAGGAGCGAAGGAGCCGGCGAACAATTGCAGGGTAAACGATTTTAAAGAAGAAACGGAGGGTTCCGGCGACGGTACGCACGCTCACGCGCCGACCGGTCGCCGGACCCAAGGTAAGATCTGTTTTCTCCCTTTTCTCTCTCTCACGACTTTCGAAAGTAGTGAGATATAAAACTCCTCCCCCTCTCAGTTCTCCTTACAAGTTTTATTAATTACCTACTTATCTCTTTGTCGAATAAAGTTGCAAGAGTATCACGAATACTCCCTCATATTTTATTATTTTCTTCACAACTATTTAATTAGTACTTAATTACATAATCCAACTCCATATTCTTTATTCTTTCAAGGTATTTATAGTGCTCCATGATATAAAGTAAGTTTATATATATTTACATGACAAATAAGAAATTCAAATGTATTGGAGCTCAATCTTATAACTCTTTTTTTATAAAGTTTGACATACATCATTTTAGTTGTAGCTTAATCTACAGAAGACTCAAATTGATTTTTTTCTTTGGCAGAAATAGTTGAAGTGTTGAAATAACATTAATTCAAGGGTAACTCTTGACATAAGTTGTAATAAATTATCTCTTGACATTATAGGTGGTTAACTCTGAGAGGGCAGTGAGCACGTGTGTTGACTTGCAAGTAAACGTCCCAAAAGACTTTTCCGTTCCTTGTGGAAAAATGGGGTTACTTCTTTTTTCTCTCCCGCTATGTATAAATTGGATTATATCACTTATATCAAATGTTACATAATGAGGAGTAATACACAAGTGTCCACATTCGGCGTAGATTTTTTTTTATGGAGTTGCAGAAACTGGTGGAACAAAGTTGAATTTCTAAAAATCAACATCGTACTATATTAGCATTATCACATTCACAATCAGATATTTTTAAACGGTTTCATATTCCATAATATTACACAAGTTTACAAACATGTATACGCAATGGTTATGACGTAATAGAACTGTTGAAAATTTTGGGAAAGGACTCAAAGGAGTATGAGCTAGGTTTTACAAATGTATACCCCAAAATAATAAGTCTTGCCTTATAAGGTAATTATAAAAATTCCGACTGTTCTCTCACATCCCACAATTCTTTTTCTAATAAAAATTACGTTATCAAAAATAATGTCTATCCATTTTATACATGGTCCAAGAAAACAAATTCACAGTTGTGTGTTTAGCTCATAACTCTTTGGCAATGACATTTGACAAATGTTACTTAGTTACATGACAATTCATTCTTGAAAGAATTACCATGTCTGTCGATGGTCAAATGGTAATGGTAATGGATTTTAGACACCAACACGTTTTAGTTTTAATTTATCTGCTACAAATATTAATTCACATTATTCTAGATATCAAAATGAATATGAACTTTTACTTTCGACTCATTTAAATATTTTTAAAAATATTTATTCATAGAATGATATATCTCCACTTAAAAATTAGTTTGGACCTTTCCATAAACTCGAAATACTTCTAAATTAATTTCAAAAAAATATATGTTAAGTCCAGCCAATGCAAACACTTCTACCAAAACACATACTCCCTCCGTTCCATAATATAAGATGTTCTAGAGAAAATTGATGTTTCAAAATATAAGATGTTTTGATATTTTTAAGGTACTTTAACTTTATAGAGAACTAGTTGACCAATAGTATTTTAGTTTAGTATTTATGATTGGTTAAATTATTTTAAATTTATACTATCAATGATGTTATCTTTTAAAAAGTTAAGTTTCTTAATTCTTGTACTTTGGATAAAACATCCTATATTGTGGAACGGAGGGAGTATAAAAGAATAAAAAGCAAATCTCCTTAAAGATTAGTTTGGACCCTTTTATATATTTGAATTATCCCAAAACTAATTAAACATATCTACCCAAAGACATATGAAAGGGTAAAAATCAGAGCTTTACAGTAAATATATTTAAATTGATGTTTACAGTAAATATATCTAAAATTGAATTTTTTTTAAATGAGTACAAAATTTTAGATAATAAGAATATGGTTTTAAAATTTGTGGTGTAAATTTTGGTTTATATAATTTCTGATGTGGATGTAGCTGATGTATTTGTATATTTTTCCTGATGCCTGGAAATTATTATTTTAATAAATAAAGGTCTAACAACAATTTTCTTATTTTTCCGAATGTAACTTAAATCATGATTGATAATTTTAAAAGTTATAGATAAAGATTAACATGAAAGAAGTTATCTACAGCTTAACTAGTCACCCTCTCTGTTATTAAAAGCTCTCAAGGCAATCTAATTCAAATCGAAAAATGGCCACACATGTCTCCTGTGATTGCTACTGATCTGTTGTGTAAGATAACTTATACAGTAACTAATAACCATGACGGGTTGTCTTGAGCTGAAAATGTGAAAAGACGATTTTCGTCGGTTAATAAGCAAAAAAAAACTTCCTTATTTGATAATGATGCTATCGTCTCCAGAAGTCAGCCCCCACGGCCCAACAAAACAAAAGCCTTATACCACTACTACTAGTGGGCTTTTTCTTGGTCCACTAAGCCTCACGGTCCCATCCAGAGAAATATCTTCCTCGAACCCTAAATTTTCTTCCCTCTTCCTGGCAAATGGATTTAGATATCTCGTAGAGATACACAGAGAATTGAAAATTGAAGAAGATTTGTCCTTAGTTATCCAGAATCTTTGGATCAGCTCATCTTTTTTCTCCAATCTCGTGATTTTTTTTTCTGGAGAAACTACGAGTGATTAGAATCTCGCGAAGGTGAGCTAACTTCCTTTTCGAGTTTCGAATCTAGGTTTGATTCATACTCTTTTAGATCGCCGTCAACAATCACCGTATCACGCATGCTTGATACGATTATGATTACATTTCTAAAATTCGAATCAATTTTTTTTGTTTGTTTGTTAGTGATCAAGCCTTATGGACACCGAACTGAATTCACCGCCGCGTGATGGTGACGCCGCTTTTAAAAAGCCATCCAACGATGGTTCCACCAGAAAGTATCGTCGCCGAGCTTTGGCTGATGATGTCTCATCTTCATCTGATGGTTAGTCCACTCACAGCTCGTAATATTTCTAAGAACAAGGAAGCTTAGGTGTTCGTTATGTTGATTGATTATGTATTGTGCATCGTAGTGGCGGTTTCATGTGTTTAGAGCTAGCTAGGGATCTAATATAGTCACTAAGACCATTTCTGATGGTACTCTATAATTTCCTCTATATTTCACTCGGAAATAGAATAATTCTAGGATTTGCTCCAATGGTTTACTCTATAATAGAGTGGAATATAGAGCAAGTAATGTTGCTTTTTCACGATAGCGTAAAAAGATAGCATTCGACTCGATTATAGAGTAACTCTATCAAATCCAATTCCATAATAGATATATTCTAATTTAGAGTGGAATATAGAGAAAAATATAGAGTACCATTGGAGATGCCCTAAAGAGTGTGGCTTTTGATTTCTTCTCTACGTAGCTGAGATTACAACGGTTCGATTCTTGTTTTGTATAGGAAGTCCTGAACGTGATAATAACCCTAAATCAAAGCATTCTAGGGAAGATGATAAGAAAGTTTCTGAGCAAGTTCATGCGAGGAGAGAAGATAAGCGGGAATCTGATGATCGTAGCAGTCGTTATGGTAGAGGCGGTATTGATTCGCATAGACATGATAGGCACTCTAGGGATGATCATCACTACAGATCTAAGCGGGATGAGTACAACAGACATGAGAGGGATGGAGCTAGATCGAGCCGGGAGTCAAGAAGTGACCGTAGAAGAGGAGAGACTGAACATAGCAGGTCAAGAAATGATTCAGAAAGACATTCCCGTGATAGAGCTGTGTCTGGTAGGAGACACACAGACTCCAGGGCGGAGGATAAAGAGAAGGATAATGTGAAAAGAGGTTCTCGCTGGACTTTTGATGACCCTGAGATTAACAAGGAGAAAGATGTTCATGTCAAATCCCCAAGAGACCGTCCTGATGGTGCAGCTGAGAACCGAGATACTCATTCCAAGAAACTGAAGGGGTTCGTTTCAGAAAAGTTTACCCATGGCAATACTAATGGTAAGACAGTTTCGTTTCTCTTGTTTTTGAGTAGTTTTATTCTGTGTTTTGTTGCTCCATGCTCTAACTTATGGTATTGCAGAAGAAGAGAAGCACACATCGAGGTTTAAGCCAGCCCTCGGTTCTGGGAATCAGGGTTTGTCATCGCAATCTCGTTCGAAAGAAGCTGAGGTTTCTGGTGATGTCGATGCTGCTAAAGTTGCAGCTATGCAGGCTGCTGAATTAGGTACGCTCTGAGACTCCACTTTTTTTCTGTTTGTCTATTTGCAGCTAATGATTTCTCGCTGTTTTCTGTATACATAGACTCTCGCTTTATCTGAAAATATAGTGTTCTAGTTGTTCGCGTCTGCTTTTGCTTAGTTCTTACTTAATTGTTTTCCCTGGTGGTGAATCCAGTGAACAAAAACCTTGTCGGAACTGGTTACCTGACTACAGATCAAAAGAAGAAGCTACTGTGGGGAAAGAAGAAAAGCACAGCTGCAGAAGAGGTATCATATTGACTCTCAGATACGTAAATCTACTTATAGTGAGATAGACAATTTATTTACTGTATATTTTTCTTCGAACCAGCCTGCTCATCGTTGGGATAGTGCACTAGTTGGTGACCGAGAACGACAAGAAAAGTTCAACAAACTTATGGTAAATCTCATCTTTCCTCCATTTAATTGTTTTCTATTTCACTAATGAGCATAATTCAGAATTTGATTAACCTAGTCTCATATTATAAAAGCTAATTGGTTTGTGTATAAAGTAATACTAACACGTTTTCAGAGCCTGAGGTTGCGTTGGTGCATCATTGTAGGGTGTGAAAGGGAGTGTAGTAAACCAAGAGCAGAACCCGAGCGAAGTCCAAGTCGAGAAGCAGAACGAGTTGCAGAAGGATCTAGAGAAGCAGTACACAGCAGGATTAAGGAGAAGAGACGGTCGCACGGTAGGGTTAGGTCTTTGAACCTGTTCGTTAAATTATCTTCATGTCTTGTCTCTTTGTTTATCTAAAGACTCTTGTGGGATCTCCTTTTTGTAATCTACTACTACACATGTCAAAGCCCTTAATAATGGTGGACTCCATGTGTGTAAGAAAACCATGTTTTAGACCATTTGAGTTTGATTCCGACTTATGTAGTGAGTAGTTCTCTTTGTTAGGTGAAAGCTCTCGAGGTATCTTTACTTGAGAACTTGAGATGAGTCTTTGCTACGTACGACTTAGTTCGAGGTACAAAAGATATTTAACAACTAATAGGTTACAAGATATCCGATTCGTTTAACGAAAGTTTAAAATGAAATATAATATTTGAACAAATAAATTTCCCTCTCTAGTGTTCTGTAAAAAAATATTTTTTCCCAGAAAAAAATAGAGATAAGAAAATTAAACTTGTAAAAAAGCTATCATTGTTTTTAAATTATTAATTTTTGTATTAGCACAGGGCCATATTGGCCCAACTCTATAGGGAAAGCTTCTGGACCATTCTGTTCGATATTATTTTGTTTTTATTCTGCGACTTTTTAGTCATTTGAGTTGTTATTTTCCCAAAATAATTAATAAAATTTCTGGAATTCGAAATATTGAATTGAATTTCTGCAAACTCCACATCCTTCTCAGAAGAGTAGATCAGATCAAAAGGTTGTTGTTGTACCCGATCTCGGAATCGAGATTTGAATCGTGAATAATCTGCTCACAACGTTTATTGCGCCGTCGCCTTCTCTTCTTCACTCCGACGAAGATGAACGGCGGTCCCTCCGGTTTCCGTACGTACCTCAACCGCTTGATAATTTTTTTCTCCTGATTTTCTGTTTCTGAGTAAATTGAATTTTTGATTAACGCAGATAATGCTCCGGTGACGAAAGCCTTCGTGATCACGAGCGCTCTTTTCACCGTCTTCTTCGGGATCCAGGGCCGTTCGTCCAAGCTCGGTTTGTCTTACCAGGTATACTCGCATTTAATTTCTTTTATTGTGAATCTCTCACTCGTTTTTTAGGTTTTTGTTTTGAATTTACTTTAGAATTATATAAAAAAAATGGACTAGGTTTAGGCAATGTAGTTGTAAGCATATTCATTTGTACAATCATGGAATCGTGTCAGGGCCGGTCCTGAGGCATGCCTAGTGAAACATTCGCCTCAGGCCTCAAAAAATTTTGAGTATAGGCCCCAACAAAATTTTTTAGACCCCCAAGAATTTTTTTACATAGAAATCGCCACATGCCCCCAAAATCTCAGGGCCGACAGCATTTGTGAGCGTCTACTTTGAATGTAGTAAGATGTATGGTGCTCAAGTGCTTAACTAGTTTTATAGCTTGGATCTTGATCATCTGATTGTGTATGCTAGTGACTTTGCATCTGTTTGATTCTAGTTTTTTGGTGTATGATGCAACTGTGTTTCTAGTTGCTATGAGAATCTGATATCTCCAAAGTACAATGTGTTTTACAAGCTTTTTTAAAAATTTGCAGGATATTTTTGAGAAGTTTCGAGTATGGAAGCTAATCATGTCGAATTTTGCGTTCTCCTCTACACCAGAATTGATGTTTGGATTGTATTTGTTATCCTACTTTCGAGTTTTTGAGAGACAGATTGGCTCAAACAAGTACTCGGTAAGTGAAAACATTTTGGTTAGGCTCTTTTTTTTCTTGTTCCGTGTGGCCAATTGGGAACTAGATAGGTTGACTGGTGATAATTCATTTAAGGTTTTCTAAGTTTCACTTTTTTCTTTTGGTTAAGAAATGTTAATTTGATTTTTTTTTATTCCTGCTGCAGGTGTTTATCTTGTTCTCGGGAGCTTTATCTCTACTACTAGAGGTCGTATTGTTATCACTGCTTAAAGGTACACATCATTCTAGTGCAAGACAATCTAAGTCTGCCTCTTTATTAGTTTGGATTTGCAACAATGCAAGTTACTGTAAAGATTTTGGTTGTTGGTTCGCTTATATTAGCTTCATTACCATTCCTACAAAAAATTATGGAGGGAAAAATGCATGAGTGAGGATTGTGGTTCTCTGTATGAGAGCGTTTGAATTATTTGATTAAGCTACTGTGATGATCATTAATGGGTTCAGTAATCAATATCCTTCTGTTTTATTCATTTTCTGAACTCTCATGAAGAACTTATACTGGTCCATGAGTTAGATCATGTGTTTTTGTTAATGCGCTTCTGCTTTAGATTTATGCATCTTGTAAAATATAACTTCACTAAGGAATTTGATGTACCTTGTATCTGTTTATTATGGTAACTATATGTTGTTTCTTTATGCAGATACCACAGAAAATTTACTGACCTCTGGACCATACGGCCTGATATTTGCTTCGTTTATACCCTTCTACTTGGACATCCCAGTTTCAACAAGGTTTCGTGTATTTGGTGTCAACTTCTCCGATAAGTCATTCATATATCTTGCAGGAGTCCAGGTAAACAATACTATTGGTTTTCAGTTTCACTATATAGTTCTTTTTGTATCCACTAAGTCTTAAATGGTAATCTTCTCGGGTTTTTATTTTTCAGCTTTTATTATCTTCTTGGAAAAGATCCATCTTTCCTGGAGTTTGCGGCATAATTGCTGGTTCCTTGTATCGTTTGAACATCCTCGGCATCCGAAAGGCCAAGGTAATACCTTTCTAATAACCTCTTGTAAAAACAAACTCATCATCATATATCTATCTGTCAAATCGTTGGCTTCTTTAACATTTATTATATGCCTGAACACATCACAGTTCCCCGAGTTTGTTGCTTCGTTCTTTTCCCGGCTCTCTTTGCCTTCCTTCAGTAGCTCTTCTCCTCCAGCACCAAGCAGGAACATCGTTGGGACTATATCACCCAACACAGTTCGCCGAGCAGAGGTAAAACTCCTCTCTCTTCTCAGTAACATCTCTTTTGTTAGCCAAACTCTTTAGTGTCATCTGAAACTCCTCTTTCTTTACATTACAGAGATCCCAGCCACCTCCAATGGTGTCAAGTGTGGAGCCATCTGAAGAAGCCATAACTACATTGGTATCAATGGGTTTCGACAGAAACGCAGCAAGACAGGCGCTTCTGCACGCCAGAAATGATGTCAACGCCGCCACAAACATCCTTCTTGAAGCACAATCTCACTAATTCAAAAAGACGTTTCTCATGAATAGGAAAGATATCAGAAACTTTATTTGCCAAACAACATAACAGACGAGTTCCTATATTGCTGTTGGACCAACCTTGGAGCCAACATGTGTCACTGTATATGATGGGATTAAAGACTTTACCAACTTTCTCTCTTTCCATTTCTAGTTTTAGGATGAGTTGCATAGGTTTGTGTAGCACAGATTTGCTGGTTAAGAGAAACACACTTCAAGAAGTTTTATCTGTTTGAAACTTGGAAAAACATTACAGGTGTTATTACATTACATCTGTTCTTATACAACACACTAACCAAAATCTCGCTAAAATTCGACGAGTTAGCCAGTTTGTACCTGCACAGTATATATAAGCACACCCAACACAATTTCTCAAGAATATGTAGTGAAAGCTTTGGGGCAAATGCTTGGTTCAGAATGTACGTATTCAACTTCTCATACAATGCATTGCTAGAATTAATAAGAAACCACAAAACTAGACGAGGAAGTTACACAACTTACAAAACAAAAGCAAGACTTCACACAAACCATAAAAGAGATACCATTTGGTCTTAAAACAACCAGAAAACAGAACCGAGTCCCATGAATAAAAATTTAAGAACATACATAAAGCAATATAAAAATTACATAACAGAGTTTTAGTAAGACAGATAGAGGCAAACCAAAAACCACAATCACTTAGCCATCATGACCTTAACAAACTCCTCATAGTTAATCTGACCATCACCATCAACATCAGCTTCCTTAATCATCTCATCAACCTCTTCATCAGTGAGCTTCTCACCTAAGTTAGTCATCACATGACGGAGCTCAGCAGCTGAGATGAAACCGTTCTGGTCCTTGTCGAAAACCCGGAACGCTTCTTTAAGCTCTTCCTCGGAGTCAGTGTCCTTCATCTTACGAGCCATGAGGTTCAAGAACTCAGGGAAATCAATGGTTCCGTTACCGTCAGCGTCGACTTCGTTGATCATGTCTTGGAGCTCAGCTTCTGTTGGGTTCTGTCCTAGAGAACGCATCACAGTTCCTAGCTCCTTGGTGGTAATGCAACCTGCAAAGCCAACCAAAATGTTGTTCATCGTTCACTAACAAAAATAAAAGGTTTTCACTTTTTTGCTAAAACGACGTCGTTGCTCTATCAATTATTTTTGAATTAAAACGACGTGGTTGCTTTATAAAGTTCTTATGGAAACGTCGTCGTTTGTTCTAGTCATGGGCAGTTTATCCGAAACCCAAAAACCGAACTGAAACCAAACCAAAAAAACCGACACCAAAACAGGATCTGAAATTATCAAAACCCGAACGGTTCCTATTTTACTAAATCCAAAAATCGAAACCGAATTGAGACCGAACCGAGAACCGAACGGATACCCGAATATTATAAATATAATAAAAATATTAATTATTTTAATTTTAATATATATAAAATGTATTTTTAAATTAAAAAAAATCCAAAAACCCGAATTAACCGAATATTTTTCGAGTTCGGGTAATTCGGGTTTAACTCAGTTTTTCGATTCTTTTTTTTTGTGTTTGGGCTTTAAACCCGAACAAACCCGAACTATTTCTAATTCGGTTCCACTTTGGGTTTTATAAAAAAAATAGAAACCCGACCCAAACCCGACATTATCCGAACCGATCCGAAAAATTCCCGTTTCCTAAACGGTTCCTAAACACCCCAACCCGAATAACCCGAAAACGGAATAATCCGAACCGAAAACCCGAATGCCCAGCACTAGTTTGTTCAATAAAGTTTTTTTTTAGAACGACGCCGTTGCCAAATCCAAAAGGTTCTGGTCAATCTACACACTTACGATAAAACCAAATCGATTGAATCGAGAAACAGAACGAGAATCTAATGGACGAGTCTAAAGATAGCGAATCGAAGATCCAGAACCAATAACCAAAGAATCAAACCAGAAATCGAATCAATTTGAAGCCAATGATCACATGTAGCAAAATCCTATGCGTTGACGACGAAAAACGTACCGTCACCATCTTTGTCGAATAAGCTGAAGGCTTCCTTGAACTCAGAGATCTGATCGTCGGTGAGCTGATCCGCCATTTTCTTTTTCTTCTCTTCGTTAACTTTTTGATTTTTCTTCTTTAATCTCAAAATTGAGAATCGAGAGGAGGAGGAAGAGAAGAAGAAGAGAGTCACAGCGGAAAAAACGAGAGAGAAACCGTATTTATCGGATAAACTTAGCTATTAACGACTTTTTAATCCGACCCGGGTGAGGACTCGGATTCTTATTTTATTAACCCGAACCGGATCTTGATATCTCTATTACACCCTTATAGTTTTAGAGAATTTACGTTAATGCCATTGTGGATAATTAACGCATAACACGACACACGTTCACGCTGTCTGTACCGCGGAAAGTTGACTGTCACGTCAGCATACAATCCCAAATTCGATTTATGATTGGTTCACTTTTGTATATATCACCAGTATACCACCAGTAAATTGTTCTAAATTAGAATTCATTTTTCAAGTAATTAAAACACCATTAGATATGGGGTTGAATTCATCTACTCAATTTCCTAATATCATTAGATGATGTATATGGTACATATATTTATTAATAATAGCAATCAATCTCAATTAGTGTCAAAGGTTGTGAATCTTATCTAACTGAAATGTTATGTTTTTTTTATTGCAAAGAAAAATAATATTTTAAAAAATACCTAAGATGTCTATCTGTAATAATAATTATAATATTTTTGAAATACTGCGTCTATTTAAAATTTAGTTATTTTTAAAACTAGTTAATCTTTATATAATAAATGTGCTTTTGAAATAATGTGTCATTCAAATATATAATTTAAATGTATCATTTAAAATAATTACCTATAATTGGATAGTTTTGAGTCTTGACTATTCATAAAAATAAATAATTTTAATTTGAAAAGTTGTGACTATTCACTATCTTTAATTTGAAAGTTGTGACTATTTATAAAAATACCTAATTTTAACTTGAAAAACTATTGACTAATTTGAAAGTTATGACTATTCATTAAAATAACTAATTCTAACTTGAAAAATTGTAACTATTCATATAGAATTTTGAAAATCTATTAATAATATATGTCCATGAGTTTCTACAAGTAAAAATTTCACTAATCTAAAAAAATAGTGAAGAACAAAAAGTTCTTTGTAATGAAACTATATTTCTGATTATCCTTATTTTATGAAAACATAATTCATGTCTTATAATTTTATACACTTAGATTATATAAGAAAGTTTGATAGCTACACTTAGGTTACATCGGTTATAATGAATGTTCATGATACAAGTTCACGGTCGGCATAGTTAATGTTTTATGCATGATTTGACCATTTGCATGTATTTAGGAATTCTGATGTTGGATTAGAAAGTAAGGAATCATGTTGCTTAAACATAATACATTTGTGGTTAAGTATTTTTAAACAACTCTAAAGAGGCTAAATAGTATAGAGAGTATTTATTGGAAAATTAAATCTTCTCGGAGGGATTAACCCATATTTTTTAATGATAAATTAGAAAATATGGTATTTTTAATTCAATGCATAGCTGAATCATGCACTGACATAGTATGAAGATCAAAGAGGTTTGAGACCTAAAGTGTTCCCATTTCTCTAGAAAATAGAGATTTTATAGGGTTAGTATACTAATTAGATCGTATATGAAGTTTAAAAAACTTAATCATTGAAAAAATAGAAATGATGCCAATGTACCATAAAAATATGATTAGAATACATTAATGTACATTTAGAGTGTGGTTAAGAATTAAAAAAAACATTAACGAGGTTAAACTTTAGTATATATAGTATTTACTGAAAAAACTTGATCTTTTCGTAAGATAAATTAGAGAATATGGTGTTTTTCATTTAATTTGAAATTTCATTTTTCACTGACATGTGATGTAAATTAAAGATGTATGGGATCTTATTTTTCTCCGTTTCTCCAGAACTTAAAGATTTTATAGGGGCTAGTCTACTGAATTACGAGGAATACAAAATTTTATTAAATTACTGATTAAAATATTAGAAACGTTGCTTATGTACCATGAAAATAATTTTAACATGCATTGATATAAATTTATAATGTGATTATGTATTTTTTAATCAACAAAAAAGCATAAATTTCAGTATATATCAATTATTGGAAAACTCGATCTTTTTGTAAAGGTTAACCCACATATTTCAAATAAATTAGAAAATATGGTACTTTTCTTTTGATGCATAGATTCATCCAGAACATATATAGGATGAAGATCAAATATGTCTCACATATTTTTTGTCCCAATTTCTCTAGATTATAGATATTTCGTTGGGTTTAATTCTTTGATTTACATTGTATATGAAGTTTAATTAAATTACTCGTTGGAAAACTATAAGTGATGTCCATGTACAATGAAAATGAATTTAGATATATTAGCATAAATTTTTAGTGTGGTTAGATATTTTAAACAACACTAAAGAGGCTAAGCATAAGTACAAAGAACATTTATTGGAAAAACTCGATCGTTTCGTAGGGGTTAACCCACATATTTCAAGATAAATTAGAAAATATGATTTTTTCTTTTATTTTTGACTATCTGAATCCAGAACTCATATATGATGTATATCAAATAGTTTTGATACATTATTTGTCCAAAGTTTTATAGAAAATAAGGATTTTATAGAGTTTAGTTTAATTTCTTTGGCGGTATACGGAATTTTATTAAGTTCTTCAGTTGAGAATAAGAACTGATGCCCATGTACCATGAGCATAAGTTTAGTACATTAATATAAATTTTTAATGTGGTTAGGTATTTTAAAATAAAACTAAAGAGGCTTATATATTTTATCAGAAAACTCGATCTTTTTATTGGGGTTAACCCACATATTTCAAGATAAATAAAAATATGGTATTTTTAGTTTATTGAATTGATGTCTCATGAACTGACATAGTATGTAGAATATAGAGGGTTAAGATCTTAGGTGTTCCCATTTCTCAGAACATAGAGTTTTTATAGGGGTTAGTCACTTATTAGATGGTATATGAAGTTTAAATAAATTACTCATTGGAAAATTTAAAATTATAAATGATGACCTTGTACCATGAAAATAATTTTAGCATACATATATATAAATTTGGTGTGTGTTTAGATATTTTTAAACAACACTAAAGAGGCTAAATAGTATAGATAGTATTTATTGGAAAATTCAATCTTTTCGTAGGGGTTAACCCACATATTTCAAGATAAATTAGGAAATATGAAATTTTTGTTATAATGCATAGCTTCATCATGTACTGACATAGTATGAAGATTAAAGAATTTTTGAGACCTTAAGTGTTCCTATTTGTTTAGAAGAATAGAGATTTATAAAGGTTAGTATCCTAATTAGGTCATATATGAAGTTTAAAAAATTACTTGTTGGAAAAATATAAATGATGCCCATGTACATAAAAATATATTTAGACTACATTAATATACATTTAGAGTGTGGTTAAGTATTAAAAACATTAATAAAGGGAAACTTTAGTATATATAACAATTACTAGAAAAAATTGATCTTTTCGTAAGATAAATTAGATAATATGACGTATTTTTTTAATGAAAAACTTCATCATGCAATGACATGGGATGAAAATTTAAGAGGTCTGTGATCTTATTTATCTGCGTTTCTCCAGAACTTACTGATTTTATAAGGGTTAGTCCAGTTAACTAGGTGGAATATGAAATTTTATTAAATTATTCATTAAAATATTAAAAAAATTTCTTGCTGTACAATGAAAAAAGTTTAACATACATTAATATAATTGTATAATGTTAGGTGTTTTTTAATCAGCAAAAAGAGTTTAAACTTTAGTGTATAGCAATTATTGGAATACTCGATCTTTTTGTAGGGGTTAACCCACAAACTTCAAGATATATTTCAAAAATATGATACTTTTATTTTAATGCATAGATTCATCTAGAACATATATAGGATGAAGATAAAATATTTCTCACACATTTGTTGTCCCAATGTTTCAAGAATATAGAGATTTCATAGGGTTTAGTTCTTTAATTAACGTGGTATATTAAGTTTTATTAAAAAGAACTCATTGCAAAATTATAACTGATGTCGATTTACAATGAAAATAAATTTAGGATACATTAGCACAATTTTTTAATGTGGTTAGATATTTTAAACAACAGTAAAGAAGCTAAACATGAGTATAAATAGTATTTATCGGAAAACTAGATATTTTTGTAGGGGTTAACCTATAGATTTGAAGATAAATTAGAAAATAAGGTAATTTTTTTATTTCTGAATAGCTGCATCCAGCACTAATATATGATGCATATTTAAGAGTTTTGATAACTTAGTTGTCCAAATTTCTATAGAAAATAAATATTTTATAGGGTTTAGTTCAATTATTTTGGTGGTATATGGACTTTTATTAAATTCTTCCGTTGAAAATTAGAATTGATGCCAATGTACCATGAATATAAGTTTAGTACATTTATATAAATTGTGAATGTGGTTAGATATTTTTAAACAAAACTAAAGAGACTTATATATAACAATTATCGGAAAACCAGATCTTTTTATAAGGGTTAACCTACATATTTTAAGATAAATTAGAAAATTTGATATTTTTGTTTTAATTTTTTTTTTTTTGCATCGTGCACTGTCATAGTATGGAGAATAAATAAGGTTAACACTTTAGGTGTTGCCATTTCTCAGAAAATAGAGTTTTTAAGATAAATTAGAAAATATAGTATTTTTAATTCAATAAATAGCTGAATCATGCACTGACATAGATTTAAGACTAAAGAGGTCTGAACCCTTAGGTGTTTTCATTTCTGGAGATTGTATAAGGGCTATTATACTATTTAGGTCGTATATGAAGTTTAAAAAAATTAATCATTGAATAATTAGAAATGATGCCCATGTACATAAAAATATATTTAGACTACATTAATATACAAAACCTTAGGTGTTTTCATTTCTCTAGAAAATGGAGATTGTATAAGGGCTATTATACTATTTAGGTCGTATATGAAGTTTAAAAAAATTAATCATTGAATAATTAGAAATATATGCCCATGTAC